TTTCCTCTCCTGGGAGAGGAACACCCGTCCCACCTGCGTGTCTATGACTGCACCTAGATGATTTATGCGCTGTTGAGGGACCAATTGACTCTTGGGCTCGTTGACTAGAAACCCATGATTCTGTAATATTTGCAGTGTGAGAAATACATTGGTTCTGGCTCTGTCTAAGGACGAGGCTTGTATTAAAATATCGTCCAGATAAGCCTGAATGCGAATCGGTATGGACCGCAGGTGAGCTACCAAGGCTGCCAGAATTTTGGTGAAACTGCGTGGGGCCGATGCCAGGCCAAATGGAAGGGCCCGGTATTGTAGGTGGTGCCCCGCGTAGCTGAACCTGAGGTACCGCCGGTGAGCTGGCTCTATGGGTATATGAAGGTATGCCTCGGAGAGGTCGATTGAGGCTAGGAAGTCCCCGGGCCTTATTCCCTCCAGGATAGATTTGAGCGTACTCATCCTGAACTTGCGGTACACTAAATGAGTGTTCAGGGATTTTAAATTTAGGATCGCTCTCCATCCCCCCGAGCGCTTCGGAACCACGAAAAGAATTGAGTAAAACCCCTGTCTCCATTGCTCCCGAGGGACGTCCTCCACAGCATTGATCTCCAGAAGATGCTGAATGGCGAGCTCCATCAAATTTCGCTTGCTGAGGGAGCTGGAGACAGGGCAAGGCACGAAGCGGCTCGGAGGGCGGGAGAGGAACTCCAATGGGAGGCCGAATTCGATGATATGAAGAACCCATTGGTCTGTAGTACTGCGAGCCCATTCGGGGAGAAACAGGCTCAACCTCCCCCCAATAGGAGCTATCAAGCGAGAGTCACTTTTGGCGGCGGAACTGACGTCCGCCAGTTCCACGAAAGGGCCGTCTCTGAGGAGCGAAAGGTTTGGATTTATCCCTGTAGGAACCTCTATCTTGGGGACGAAAGGAACCTTGTGAGTAAGGTCTCTGACTGGGGCCCTCCTGGAAGAAATTACGGGCCGGTGGCCTGCGATAGTGGGGGTAGCCCTGCGATCAGCTCGTCTAGTAATGGAAGGTAGGACCTTCCTTTTATCCCTGTCCTCCACTAATAATGGGTCAAGGGAAGCCCCAAATAATTTAGGCCCAGAGTATGGTGTAGAAGCTAGACGCCATTTGGCCTTGAGGTCAGCGTGCCAAGGTTTAAGCCACAAAAGGCGACGGGAAGTGACTGAAGAAGCCATAGCCCGCGAGGCAAATTTGGCCGCATTTAGCGTGGCATCCGAGGTGAACTGTGTGGCAGCTATTATCTTATTTAAGTCCTGATGGACTCTGGCATCCTGAGCTGGTAAGCGGGACTGTAGTTGTTGGAGCCACAGGAGTGATGACCGTGAGAAGAATGAGGCCGCAGTAGCAGCCTGAATCGCCCAAGCCGAAGCCTGGTGGGCTTTCTTGAAAGATGAGTCAAACTTACGGTCTTCTGGCTTAAGTCCTTCAGAAGTATCCCCCGAGATGAAAGGAGACGACGAGGAAAGCGCTGCCACAGGGCCATCAACCTTGGGAACCTGCAAGAGACTGGTCAGGACAGGATCCATGTTGTAATTTCTACGATCGTAGCCACTAGGAGTAGGGAGAGAAGTTGGATTAGTCCATTGTTTACGAACCACATCAGCGAAAAGTTTTGGCGCCGGGACAAATAGCTGCTCAGCTACTGGTTCAGAAAATATGCCCTGACTGGTGGAGGCGGCAGAAGATGACGGGACAGAATCAGTGTCAACTAGGCCCGAGGTTACCTTGGCCTTGTGAAGCAGTGATTTAAAAAGTCCCTGGGGAAACAGCCCTGTAAAGGCTGGTACGTCTGGAGCAGTGGATTCGTCATCCGACAAATCTACCTCTCTTTGAGGTTCATCCTCCAATTCTATATCAGCACTGCCCCTGGATCTAACCGGGGAGTGATCAGGGGACCCTGTGAGGCTGGCATCAGGAGAAACCCTTGATCTTCTGGAATGAAGACTCTCAGAGACAATAGAGGCAGAGCGATGCTCCCTGATGCCCGCTTGAATTCCATGAGAAATGGCCCTGGCAATTAACATCTGCACTGATTGAGGAAGATTTTCCAGATCAGACCTAGGTTGATAGGTTGGTGGAGGATCCTGAACAGGAATAGCACAATCAAAGGGGTCCCCCTCTTGTCTAATTGGAGAGCCATGAAGGCTGTCCTGTCGTTCTGGGGAGAAGGCTTTGGTCAGGTCAACCTCCTCTGCAACCCCTGAATCGAGACCGACTTCCGGGTTTGGCTTATCTGTAAGGATATGCGTAGCCATATCAGCAGAATGATGATGAGACGTTTTTGTATGTTTTGATTTTGCAGAGGCCTTACGGCCAGAATCACTCTTGGAAGATGACTGGTCTGCCATTACGATGGATGGGCTATGCTACAGCAGGAAATCTGCGCACAAATGAACAATGGTAAGACATCAGTAAGATATCAATTATTATTATTATTATTATTATTATTATTAATATTATTATTATTATTTTGCAGGGAGACAGCGTATGCAAATTCAATTTCCCACTTTATATAAATCCAGCAAATAATAGGGAAGCCGCTGCCACAATGAAATCACCAAACGAAGAAATTTTCTTTCCCCTGTTTGGATATAAAATGGCTGCCCAGGAACAGGTATCCAGGGTCAGACAAAATGGCCACCAAGAGTTGGGATTAAATTCCAAATACCCCAAGTCCACAAAAAACACAGACCTGCTTTCAATGTCTCTCCTCCTTTTTTTTTTTTTTTTTTTTTTATATTGAAGCCAGTGCAAAGCTTACCAAGCCAAGCACTCAGACAGGCCTCAGCAGCCGATGAAAAGGACGCGCAGAAATGGCGGCAAATAACGGCTGCAGAAAGATGGCGGCACAGAAATTGGCGGGGAAGCGTCAGACACCACCCACGCCAAGCAACAGCAGCAAAAATGCGAGCTCCGTCTTCCCCGGTGGCTGGGAGGAGCCGCGATAGCAAATAGAGCCGAAATAACCCTCGCAGCACGGCTGACGATTTTCCGGCTTCCGCGGCTTCTCCGACCTCCAGCTGATCAGCGCTGAAGGGAGATTGACAGCGGAACGGGGCGGCGAGCGGTGGGAAGCAAGGCGCTGGCCCCTGAAGCGTTACGATCTTCACGCCCCCCAGCTGATGAGCGCTGGGGCGGCGGCTATCAGGGGAGCGCGGCGGCGGCGTTTCCAGCCTAGGAAGACTGAAATGGCCCGCACGCACAGCGCTAGAAAGGAATGGGGGCTGAAATATCTTTTAACTCACGTTCCCTTGAAGTTCAAGAGACAACGGAGGCAGCCCTGTCTCTCAGACAGTGTTCAGGCTGAAAAGCCCCCTAGCAACAAACGATCTCCAATTCCGTCCGAAGTGAGAGACTCAGCGAAGCGACTGGTCAGAACCACTGAGTCGAATAAACTGGGAGGAAGGGAGGCCTGAGTAGGCGTGGCCAAGTTTATCCGACTCAGTGATTGGCCAGACGGGCTGGATCATCCCACTTCTGACCCACTCCGCATCCCAGTGGGAGAAGTTGTGGGTGCTCCAACACTGGAAGTTTTTAAGAAAAGAATGTACAGCCATTTGTCTGGAATGTTACAGGGTCTCCTGCTTGGATTATAAGACCTTCAAGGTTCCTTCCAAATCCATTATTTTATATTCTGTATCATTACATGATGTAAGGTTTTCTAAGTAAAGCTGTTTTATTGCAATTGACTGCTGGTGATTTTGTCAATGTAGATGGAGTTCAAATAGTATTCCAGTTGCTTTGGAATTGCACCCAAGCTACCTATAATTAATAGCACTAGTATTGAAAATATTTTTAAAAAACCTAAATAAATATTTAAACTCATCATAATCCATCAAACGTATGAGAAGAAGACTGTATGATGATCAAGGTATAGGACTTTTCTTTTTCCTTGAAGTTGCTGGTATACTCAGCTGCCAGTTTAGTGAGTTCTCCAAGGCCTTGCAGGCAGGCTGGAGCTATCTGAGGTGCACCATCTGATACTGGAGATTATTGGCTGTGGACAAGCATTATTAGATGGGAGCGGGTGGCATTGTTGGCCCACTGGCACTGACAACATTTCCTCCTTCTGCTTGTTTGCAAATTCCATCCTCTTTTTATCTTTTATGACCCCCGTTGTCACCTCACTTGAATGGTCACCACATAAAGACTGTTTATTATTGAGAGACTATAATTCCAGAAGAGAAAAAGTAAACTATATTTTGTTTATGTTATGTTTCAAGTTAATCCTTGTTCAGAGAAACCTTACACGAGTAAGAAAATAGACACAAATAAAGTAGTCATCACATGACACAGCAGCAACAAAAACTTCTTGGATCAGTCAGGGGAACAGCTACAACACCAGAGCCAAGAAGGACAGAGTATGGGAGACAACAAACAGAAGAATAAACTGGAGAATTCCCAGAAACAGAGGCTTGCTGGAAGAAGCATGCAGTCATCCAAGAAGTGAAGCAAGGAAAAACCAAGATGGATGTGGATGGATAAAGACACTAATGTTGGGTGAAGTCAGTGAAATATCTCAGTGACCAGCCTGCTAGATAGACCAACAATAGAATGAAGTCTTACACAAGAAATGTGTAACTGAACCTAATCCCTTGACAACATTATCACTCTTACCCTTAAGTACTTTCCCTTGAGACAATATGCTATTGTTAAATGCCTTAGCTCAGGGAGTAGCTTAAGTAACAGAAGACTGTTTATTATTGAGAGACTATAATTCCAGAAGAGAAAAAGTAAACTATATTTTGTTTATGTTATATTTCAAGTTAATCCTTGTTCAGAGAAATCTTCCATGAGTAAGGAAAACGACACAAATAAAGGTGTCCTTTGACAGGATTATTCATTGCTTCTGTCTTTCTATTCCACCCTTTGCGAAATAACCTACCGCAATATAGACAATGTGCTGACATCGCCTTCATTTTGCCAGTAACTGCAAAGCCTGAACAACAGTACCCATAATTATGATTTCATTTACTTTAAGGAGTCTGGTCATCAGGAAGGCATTTCTCAGAATGGGAGAGTGAACAATAAAATCAGTTTCATGTTTGATTCAGTAACATGGAAACTTGGGCTGACGGAATGAAAAGTAAGCATATAAAAGTAAGTATATTTCAAATATAATTAGCTTGTGAATGATAAACCTTTATGTATCAGTTATTTAAATGGAAAATTCAGTATTCTGTTTCTACCACCCCAACTCCATTTCACTGGGTGGATTATTTGAAGAAGACTAAAAATTTATATTTATGAATTATTTTATACTTTACATACTCTTCTAAAACTGTCAGCATTCTCAGGTAGACCAGACAGGGAATACAACCTGATGGACTAATTCTGCTTTATTGTAAGATTAAACTAATAGAATTTTGCAAGTCTGAAGGTACAAATTTCTCACCGTCTCTTTTACAGCCTGAGAACTTAGGGAGCTTTCTTTCTGACTCTTTTTTTCTGCCTATTATGCAGCTTATTTAATCATTCCCTAGGCAGCATCTCTTCCCCTCCCCCTCCCCCGCTCTCAAGGTCTTTTTCATATACCAGGAGTCTACAAACTTGGCAATTTTAAGACTTGAGGACTTCAATTCCCAGAATTCCTCATGCTGGCTGTGGAATTTTGGGAGCTGAAGTCCACACAAGCCTTAAAATTGCCAGGTTTGGAGTGTCCTGCCATATACCATTACCTTACTGAGGCAACATTACTTAGTGTGGCTTACCCATACTAGCAATTATGCTGTGCACTGGCAGCCGAGAAGGACCATGATAAAACAATCTTGTTTGGTGATTTTTCTGATGATGCTCTTGTTTCTTAAAAGCAGAATTTTCTTCTTTTGTGATGTTAATATAAAAACATATATCTGAAGAGCTCATAATATACCGGGGACCTGGGTTCAGCAAAATATTTTTGTTATCTTCCCTCCTAACACCGATTAAACAAACACCAAACCTAATGTCAAAAGTAAAAAAGAAATGTTGTTAGGAAAAAATTGAAAGGCATACAGTATATGTGCTTAAATCCATTCCTTCACATCTCATATTACAATAAAATCAAGAGAGACAATATGAAAATATTTTAGATTCATTTGGGCTGCTTAAGACTCTGTATACAATTCAGGTCTAGAGCAATGAGTTTTTTTCTGCTTTTAGAAAATGTAGTGGCTTTGTAAAACATCTCAAAGAAAGGCTCTCCTGAATTATAGAGGCCTCCCTTCCCTTCACTAAAGTTCAAGCTTCCAATGAAAGATATACTGATAAGATATACTGATAAAGATATACTGATAAGTCATCTACTCTGGCCTCTTATAATCATCCTTCGGGCGTGTTTTGTTTTTGTTTTTTTTTGCATTGTAATGTTTAATTTGGGGAAAGAAGTCAACTTAACAGCCTCAGATTCCCAAATAATCAAGATTACTTCTACAGGCTACATCCAGAAACATTCCAATAGCCCCTCAGCTGTAGGCTCGTCTTCTTACATTGAACCAAACAATACTATGAAAACCCAGTGGAGCAAAAATTTATCAGGCTACACAATAAAAAAAGAAAATGAAACTATTGGGGAAAGGGGGGAGGAAAGGGGAAAAAATGTAGGAGAAAGGGGAAAAAGAAAGAAAAGCATTGATTACCAACTCTTTAGCACAATAGAATATGGTAATAACATTGCAGTCTCAGTTTTTTACTTTTACACGTTAATATATACTAGCCACTTCAGTAACAACAAACCTATCTAATCAATGGAACCCAAAGTCAAAAGTTTCATTCAAAAGGGGAATTTTTAAAAGATCTTGATTGCATTTCAGTGTAAGAAACTAAACCTACCTTTTGTGTGCATGGAAAGATGCGTATGTGAAACTCTTTCCTTCATATTCAGCAAAAAACACACTCTCCTCCAAGTTAATATGATATACTTCATTCCCTGAGCATCTCCCATACATTTTCTGCCACTGTTCTGGTGACTGTTGGCCCTCTCTGAAACACAGATATATACAGTGAGCTAGCATTAATCTGTGCATGTAAGCGGTAGATATATATAACATGAATAGAATCCCAAATGTGATTTTCCAAAAGGCAACTGGACTTTCTTTGGGGTTTTTTTCCCTTGAAAATGTTTCACTTCTCATCCAAGAAGCTTCTTCATTTCTGAACTTCAGAACTGAAGAAGCTTCTTGGATGTGAAGCGAAAGGTTTTCGAGGAAAAAAACCCCAAAGAAAGTCCAGTTGCCTTTTGGAAAATCAGCTTGGGACAACTATGACCTAGATAAGGGGTGTTAAACTTGCAGCCCATAGGCTGGATGCGTGACGCACTGGCCCAGCCCTGGTTTAGCAAAGGGGGGGAAAAAGTTGTGACATGTCATGTGATGATGATGTGTTGTCGTGAGTTTGACACCCCTGACATAGATGATTGAGCATCTCTACAGACATGACCTGCATGATTGAGAATCATCATAGTCCCATGCCCAACTATGTTCAATCTTACAGCAAAGATGGCATCCTGCAGCAATACTTAAGCACTCAGTTCTGGTCTGCTGATATCATAGAAAGCACAACCTGAAAAAAAATGGAGATTTCTTTTTCCCCATTACAGACCTTTTTTTTTTAATCTGCAGTTTACCCTTTGCCCTTTGAAACATTTTGCATTATTGGATAAAGTTACTGTTTGGAAAGTTCACAATGGGGAAAAGGTCAGGAATTGTTTTGTTACATTTCAGATAAACATAGATAAAATGCAATTTGAAATTAAGACAGAATAGTAATTAAATGATCATTGAAACAATATTTTTATGTTAGCATAAAGTCATATGTTAATGAATATGACTTACTGATTTACTGAAAATTGCTAGATTTTCAACGTGACTTACCGAAAATTGCCAAATTTTCACCAGTTCAGAATTCTGCATATACTTGTCTGAGCATAGTAATGCTAATGAAGTTACTGTACCATTTTTCCCTCTGCCACTTTCAGCTGGCAGGCAAGGCTGCTTTTCAGCTTGCCAATAACATGCACCTTGATATTTGCCTGGCTCAGTATTGTGGCAAGGTATCCACCTTGGGATATACTGACCAGCCACACAGAAGGCTAAACAGGCTTGTGGGTTAATGTCAAATTTTTATTTCTAGCTTTTCCCTAGCTTTTATTTCCAACTTTTGTATGTTCTTCATTAAGTACTCTGCTATATAACTTTAGCCTGAAATTCACACCTTTTGCTTGACAGACTCTTTTGTTTTAGAAGCTGGAGGGCTGGTAGAAATCTATCAGCTACATCTTTTGTATTCTTCTAATGGAAAGTTACAGTTGTTCCCTGCTATCTAGCTTTTTAAGGTTTCATCAGGGATGGAGGGAGGAGGGAAGGATTCATAGGTTAAGAAACAAAAGTATAAATAATAGGATTTTACAAAGACGTACAAATTAGAGGTTTAGGGCATTTCATGAACAGCAGTCAACTTTTTTCCTCAGATTATAATACAAACAATCTATTTCACCTGCTTTGATTGGAAAAAAAAACATCTTGAGAAAATGGGTATGATATTAGATATTTGTAAAAATAACATCCTTTTGCAAGTACAGTTAATAGATTTGGTGGGGGAGCATTTATATAATATGACAAATCTGTCTTCAGAAGTATTCACCTTCCTGGAGTAAATCTCTCTTCTTGGCCTTAATTATAGTTAGTGTACATGGGATATCACATGTCGATTTTAGTATCTTCAAGAAGTGATTACCTCTATTATTTATATACCAACCTTCTGAATATTTTTTAAAAAATAAATACAAAGTAGTTTTTATTATGTTTTTTTTTTTTTTTTACCACAGCAAATGGACAATTTTAACACTATCTATTTAACTGGGTGCATAGATAGATGCATTTACTTAAAGCTAAATTAAATACCATTTAGCAATAGCAATAGCAATAGCACTTAGACTTATATACCGTTTCATGGTGCTTTACAGACTTCTCTAAACGGTTTACTCTCTAAGAGTCAGCATATTGCCCCCAACAATCTGGGTTCTCATTTTACTCACCTTGGAAGGATGGAAGGCTGAGTCAACCCTGAGCCTGGTGAGATTCGAACTGCCAAACTGCTGGCAGCCGGTGGTCAGCAGAAGTAGCTTGCAGTACTGCACGTTAACCACTGCGCCACCGAGGCTCTTAAGTGAATGAAGGAGCTTTTTTCTCCATTGCTAGCCAGTTTAGGAATCTTTTATTCCATAATAACCAAGTGAAATGGAGTAAAGATTTCAAAAACTACATTGGGTGCCAATACAGGAAAGCTATGCTATCTATCTCTCAGAAGAAAGAATACAAGATGAAGTCTTGAATCTTAGAGGCTTGGAAAAAGCACACAGGAGAAAGTAATCTCTAAACTCTGAAAATAATTAATCTAGTCTTTCTTAATTTGTTGACCTCCAAAAGTGCTATACCTTATTCCCTGTAACTGCCAGTAATCACCTGTGTTTGTTATAATTATAAGAGCAGAAAGCACAAAACACTGAATCAGTCATGGATAGGATCAATGTACAGTCTTTCCTGTTCAAGGAATAATCAAAATAACAGTCACTTTCACATGTTCACTCCATCCAATGAGATAATTGTTATACTTACTGCCCTCTTGAAGTATGAACTAATAAAGTGATAAGCGTTGATGTAGCTGGGCAAATACAGTTCAAAGCCAACATTGCATATTTGAATTCCTCTTCACATACAACATGATCTGCGGAAGAAGAGGAGGAGGAAGAGGAGAAAGAGGAGGAGGAAAACAACTTTTGTTTATTTGAATTGCCAGCTTGCATCCTGGAGACTAAAACTGGTCTGTGAGTTCATTTGTGAATTCATTACTTTGGCTGTACACCGCCCTGAGTCCTCAGGGAGAAGGGCGGTATATAAATTCGATATAAAATAAAAATAAATAAATAAATAAAAATTTGTTGTTTTACAAATTCTAAGGAAAAAGAACAGAAAGGTGTGGAAAACAAAGGTACCGTAATATGGTATTATACCTCCCTTATTTTTGTGTACAAGATGGCAGTTAGAGTAAAATGTCTTCCTATCAATGAAGTTCCACTTCTAGAATGTATTCCCAGGAAAAGACAGTAGTCTGATATGGTTTAAAAGCTAAGCAAAAGCTATTTAAAAAACAACATCCTAGAAATTAAACACAACCTAGCTAACATATGACCTTCTTTGCATTTTACACACACCAAAAACATTTCTACAGGAACGGATACAAACCAACAGAAAAAAGGACACGTCGTTAAGCTTAAATGAAGATGTGAATGTGTAAAACCTCAACATGCTCTTCTATGTGAAGTTTTCAGATTTGTTTGAAAAAGCAGCATATAAGGAGACTTGGTGGCACAATGGTTAGAATGCAGTATTGCAGCAAACGGATTTTGAACGCATGGAAATAAGGCCAAGCACTTATTTCAGGGTTCAAAAAAATATAAAACAGGGTCTTATTTTCAGGAAAACACGGTATTTCAAGAATGGTAGGTTTGGAAACAGCTTGCACTGAAACTATTTTGTGCATTTCATTGCTTGGTAAATTTTTGATAAAAAATAATTGCTTGGTTCCTATTGTAGCATGAGTAAGCGTATCAATATGATAATAAAATGCAGGATTTTATTAGAATTGACAAGGGTGAAAGAGTTTACTGCAGATATCCAGTTGCTTTTAATGGAAATTTCATGAGTTTTGAACAAAAGGGATTTATGTTGGCAAAATGTAACGTGGAAAATAATATGAACAAGAGAGATAAATCATTTATTTAGTGCAATTCATAAACCACAAAGATTGATTTATTCTAGAGTAGATAACATCCATTTATTTTCACCTCAGTATTTCCCTACAAACCTCCTGACTGAATTAAGCATTTATATACTTGAATGGGATTGAAATATAGTTTTATAAAATAAATCTGAAAGAAGAACTATATGCTTTTGCTAATGTGGAAGATAAGTCTAATGTCCCGCCTAAAAGCACTGCTATAGTGAGAATGTGAAATAGTTTACAAAAATAATACTCACTGCAATTAGATTTATGGGAACATCTTTATTTACAGGAAATTGCCTGTGGATCCTATCTTTTGATGTCTTCTAGAAATATTATGTACTAGCTAGCCAGTAATCCAGAATGCCAAGTAAAGGGGGAAACAGCTAGAATGTAAGTCATAAGACATAATTCTTTCATAGCAGGGAATAGGTCCTCATTTTATTAAGCCAAATTTAGAATAGACAGCCTCCAGAATCCAGCAAGACCTATTGAATAATTCTACACTTCAGCTAGCAAGGCATTACAGTTTTATATCCTGGTGTCATGGATGACGTCTTTCTGCTTTAGGTTTTAGTGATGGGGAAAAAAATAGTTCTAGGGCAGCTGATAAAATGGTGGAGTTATGCATGCATTTTCTTATCTGAGAAGATTGAGAGCAAAACCAATCTTATGAATGAAATTTTACTTCTTTTAACAGATGCCACAGGAAGAGGCTCTGAGTTTGATCACAACCGAAAAAAAATGTTTTGGACACTTAACAAACATGCTGAATAGATACGATGTCAGGTGGAATGTAGTCTGGATTCCCAGGAGGTTGGGACTACATTCCAAAGAAGAAAGACATCACCAAGAGAATTTTGATAGTTTAATTGGGAGAAAGAAGGTCAAGATAGCTCCTCCTTAGATGTTTTCAGAGTATATCTTTAATGAAGCAAAGCAGTTTGCTTTAGTTTGGTAAGATTTCTGTCTATAGGTGAGAAACAATAAAGAAAACTGCTGAGAAGTAATTCTGTGTCTCTTTCTTGGTTTTTGGAGCCTGACACAACATTGAATTATTGACCTCCTTACCACTGGAGACAGAGTTGCTTGCACGAAAGTATCTTTCACAAAAATAAGAGGGCAAAAATCTCGATATTGTAACTGTTTACACAAATTTTTAAACTTTCACAAATATTATTCTTATACAGTAAGAAAGGAAAGCATTACCTAAATTACATATCTGCATGGTTGATTAATAGGTAAATACTTCAAATAATTTTATATTTGAAGTATGTGATGACAGTTGACCAAAAGTCAGATGTCAGAATTTCAGATGAAATGAAATTCATCATTAAGAAGACTGAGCAATAATTTTTGCTATTTAAATTAAGAGGGGATGGCATTTCTGAAAACCTTAATCTTAAAGGGCACATTTGCATAAAGTTGCTGAATCAAGCTGAGAGTTTGTAATGTAGAAAGGGTGCTCATTTCTAGAAGGATCTACAGAAACTGTACCAAATGAGAACATAATGGATGAGGGGAAGCAGGGGCAAGAAGGTAAACAGATTTGATTGTTCCTTGAGCTGGAAGTAATGAACCATTAATCTTAAAACAATACAATATATATTCTGGATGTATTTATTTGGCCCTAGCATATTTCAGACATAAATTTTACTTTTTAATGCTTTTATTTTCTGTTTTCTGTTAAGTTTTTGTTTAAAATCTGTACACAGGAAATAAAAAGATACAAGCTGTATCTTGTATTGTCCTAGTGGATTATAGTCACCTCTCAAATTGCTTTTACTTGCTTACTATGCCGCAGAATACCTGACTAAGAGAAGCTGGGCCAGTGGTGGGTTTCAAATTTTTTTACTACCGGTTCTGTTGGTGTGGCTTGGCTTCGTGGGCGTGGCTTGGTAGGCATGGCAGGGGAAGGATACTGTAAAATCTCCATTCCCACCCCACTCCAGGGGAAGGTTACTGTAAAATCCCCATTTCCTCCCGATCAGCTGGGACTTGGGAGGCAGAGAATAGATGAGGGCGAGGCCAGTCAGAATTTTTACTACCGGTTCTCCGAACTACTCAAAATTTCCACTACCAGTTCACCAGAACTGGTCAGAACCTGCTGAAACCCACCTCTGAGCTGGGCTGATCACCCACCTTCAAAGTTAAATCCTTATTACAAAAGGTCTCTTAATCACAGCTCATTTTAGCTCTGTATTTTTTGCAGTCTATGGGCTCTCAACATAGGATATTGCTTTAGTTAGAGAAAAAAATAAGGAGAATATTTGTATCTTTTACTTGATCAAGATTAACATCAGACCAAAAATCGAGTAAACAATACCCAAATCAAGGAACTGACAAACAAGTTAACAGTAAGCAGCTGAATCAAAGAAATGCAAAGATCAGCCCCATCAACACTGACAGGGCAAGCCGCTAAAATATAAACTGAGAGCAAACCCCACTTCTTACTAGCACTGATGGTGTTACATAGTTTGGGTAAGGAAATGTTTGCAAGGAAACAACCAAGCTCAGAGACCCCTTAGAGAGAAAAAGGCAGGGCTGGTCAACTAAGATGATGATTATGTAATGAGTAATCGTGCAAGTTATCCTCCCTCACTATTGTCAATTCTAACTTCCCACTTTCAAGTGTCCCAAAGGTAAAGGGTTGGCTGACCAACCCTCTGGCCATTGCAGGGGCTTGCTCATATGGTACGTGGTAGAACACAGTAGTAAAAGTAGCAGCAGTTAGTAATATTGCCTGGTCTTCTGTCTCTGTTAGTGGGTCTTCCAGTGGTCTTGTTGAGTAGAAAAATCTAAAAATATATGCCACTATATGTTTTGTATGTTTTACCATTGTAAGTTATTATATCTTTCTTGACGTTTAGAGGTATCTAAGATACAAGCACAAGAAAACCAATGTCCAATCATTTTATTGATGTATATTCTTTCACTTATATTCCATTTTGAAATCTTTTAATTAAACACGGTGGGTGTTAGATAGGTTTTGAGCACAGGTTATTATGAAGCTGGTGCCCCGTGTTCTTGGAGAAAAGCCAAACTTCCCCCTTTATTTGTTCATAAAAATGGCTTGCAGGACTACAATCTGATACATGCAGAGGAGTTTCAACTCAACAAAATATTTTCCTTAGAGACAAATATTGTAGAAAATGCATTCCAGCTATATATGGCACATACAAAGCTACTTCACTTTTGTTAAACTTGAGTAAATAACAGAACATTAATATTTATTATTCAGTATGCAAAAGACTTCACAGATGGGATCAGGTGCAGAAAATAAAAATTAAATGTCAACCCTACCAGGATAACAAAGAAAACACTTAGGGATTTCTAATGGAAAAAAGAAAACTACATGGAATATGATAGAAAAATAGTTTTCAAACTGTGCTTGGAGAAATCAAAATTATTTTGTAAGTCTATTGATGATTCATCAATTTTTTTCTAAATATTCTAGTAATATTAATCATAAAATCAGTATCATAAATTTGTTAATTATCAATAGAGTTCTTTGGAAGGCTTACATTAAATCATAAATTTTGCATGGACTGTATCATGGTATTATACAGTTAGGTGTTTTCATACTAAATGAATAAAAATGTTTCTATACAAGTGGGAAGTCATTTGTTTATAGCCTAATTTTTTCCCCACTACAAAACATGCATTTCCTTGCTTTGCTCAAATGATTAATTATGTGAGCACCTATCTGCATTCTGACTGGCATGGTCTACATGCAAATTTATCACTGCATTTCTTGTTGGTGGAACTTGGTTTTATTTCAGGCATGAACCTCCTGTTCAGTCAAGACTTTCAAAGAAACAATGTGTGATTCACATTGTTCAGGCAGTTGCAAATTCATTGTCCAAGAGCAGGTAGTCCCATCTGATCTTAAAAAGGTTATGAGATCATCTAACACCACAGGGTCAGATATCATCCATACACTGATAATAATTAGTTATATACTTCGACCTCTGGTCGACCCAATGTTCTTGTTAAGACTCTTTCTCAGGATAATGAGCACTGCTCTACTGTGCTGACTACATTATCAATAGTTTTCTGGGTGCAATTCAAGGGGCTGCTTGCCATATACAAAACCTTTCATGGCACAGGGCTGAATTATTTGCAGAATTTCCTGTCTTCAATTATTTCTGCTTGTCCCACATGTTCAGTCAAACTTGGCATGGTTTTAGACCCCTTGATTAAATAATGCCATTTGATGTGAACCAGGAAATGTGTCTTTTGCTTTATCTGTTCTGTGCAACACCAAGTACCAGAATTTTTCTGACCATTATGGCTTTTGTGCTGCATTAATAACTTGGCTTTCCTCCTGTTCCCAAGTATTGAGGTAGGAAATTAAGTGAGCCTGTTTGAAGTCTTGTTTTGATGTGCATATGTGTGTGTTGCTCTAAACACAATGGGACAAATTGAATGAATGGGGGGAAAAAAAACCAAGTCAAGTATTTGCATCATTCCACCTAAAATTAGATTGGCCCAAACTCTTCTTAGAAGGCCATTCACACTTGGTTTGCCATCAGGCTCTATGGAATCGTGGAGTCCATTTACCGTATTTTTTGGTGTATAAGACGCACTTCCCCCAAAAAAGTGGGTAGAAATGTCTGTGCATCTTATACAGCAAATGTTGCCGAAGCCCCACCCACCCACCGGTCCCCACCCTTTGGCCTCTGCCTCCCAGCAATTTGCCTCCTTGCAACAAACAGCAAACAGCCTGGTCAGCTTCAGCACAGCCTGATTTAGCACGAGCAGCTGATTGGTGGTTGGATCTGCCTACCAGAATACTGTCTATCAGCTGTTCCAGGCTGCAGGGATTGCCACTGTCCATCACCGCTGCTGCCTAGCTCCACTCCTTGCGCCCCATTTTTGACCTCTGTGTGCCCCATTTTTAACCCGTTCCAGGCGGTGGGGCTAGATGGCGGGGCTACCTGTCTAAACTGCATTTTCCAAACAAATGTGATAATGGTTACCTGCAACTTTGTTCTAAAAACCTAAAATGGCAAAGTCCACAGCTGACATTTGGTAGGTTGATTTTTTTTGTGATGAATTCAAGCTTCCTGCAGCACAGAAAGGGAAAGATATTTCTTTGGAGCTCTCCCTGGATTTTCTGAGTTAGAAATGATTAAAAACCATCTTCTGCCTGACCTAACTTTGCACTGGTATCTGGCTAGGTTAGGGTTCTGCTGATGGCCTTCTTTATTTCTGATAGGTGTCCTCTTTTTGCAGTATCTTCAAATGAACCAGGATTTCAGCTAATAGAAATTACTGATTCTAATAATCAGTTTCGGGCCATTTGTGGGGCCTTAAGAGTTTACGGGTAACTTTGAATTAAAACAAAACAAAATGCACTATGAGATTCAGTGAGTTTGTTTGTTTGTTTGTTTTACTGAGTTTGAGTAGAGTGATCTATGAATGCTGGGGAATAAATTAAGTCTTATGGGCCACAATTGGCCTGAATGTTGCCCACACCATTCTTATTGCAGAAAACATTAAATGGCATTGATGAGAACAGAAAGAATTATCCAATTCTACATCTCAACAAGAATCAATAAGCTATCAGACTTACCTGCAAATTTAATATGAAACTTATTTTCAGGCTTCAGTATCTGAACATACAATGGACAATTTGGAGCAAAATCTTTAACTGCCCAAGCTCTTAAAATGGTTTGATGGTCCTAGAATAAAATACAAGACAGCACATCAGAATGTTTAAGACAAAAATACAAAATTGACTATATTAATGAATATAAATGCTCATGTATAGCTGACAATGTGCTATTAAAAAAGCAAAAAACAAAACAAAACAAAACCCTTTATTTGACACATGCTTTGCAAGAAACAAGTCTTTTAGCTTCTAGTTTCTATACTTTAAACTATTTTTCAAACATAAGAATATCCCATAGTTTTGTGCCAATTATAGCAGAATTCATAAGTAAATATTGCTTTTAAAAATAACACAAAATGATTCAGACCAGATTTTCCCTTAAATGACTTTAAT